ACTAATATTCGCCCTATCATTTACTATATTCTAAGATTCTTACATGTATTAGCTTATGTAATTCCCCTAGTGACCCTCTAGGTAGGTGCAACTATTACTCTCTCATAATTCTTTTAATCCTCGTAAAATAGATCCTATTATTACGCCCATTTAACAGATGAAGAAACAAGGTTAAGTAATTTGTACAAGGTCATACAATCAGTAAGTGCTGGAGCTGGAGTTCAAATTTAGGCACTCTAGCTCCAGACACCATGTTCTTAACAACTATGGTAGGCTGAATAATGGCCCTCAAAGATACAAATCCCCCAGAAACCATGAATATTACTTTATATGGCAAAAGAAAATTTGCAGACATGACTAAGGTCATGATGGGATCTTGAGATGGGAGATTATCCTGAATTATCCAGTTGGGCCTGAAGAGTAATTGCAGGTGTCCTTATAAGAAGGCAGCAGAGGGAGATTTGGTGGCAGAGGAAGGCAACGTGACAATGGAGGCAGAAAGAGATTTGAAGATGCTATGCTGCTGGCTTTGAAGATGGTGGAGGAGGCCATGAGCCAAGAACTACAGCTCTAGAAGCCAGAAAAGGCGAGGGAATGGATTTTTCCCTGGAACCTCCAGAGGGAGGGAGCACAGTCCTGCTGACACCTTGGTTTTGATCCATTAAAACTGTTTCATTCTTCTGACCTCCAGAACTATAAGATAATTAATTGGTATTATTTTAAGCCTCTGAGTTGGTGGTAATTTGCTGTAGCAGTGATAGGAAACTAATACAGCCACATGCTATGGAGAACGATACTAGGCATAGTAAGGCTTTTATAGTATTATAAGCAAACCTTCCTCAGAATCCATGAAAGAATGAGCGTTAGTAATAATCCCCCTCAGTAGTCCCAGCTTTATGGCACTTGTCATTTTATTTCCAGGAGCACAGTTTCCTAATCCTTACCTCTTGGTGTATGAAGACTACTCACAGGTAATCTTCAGACTGCATCTATTCCATACTCTAACATGGTAGTTGTTCTGGGATCAGAGTTGGCTGTTGAGCCAGAAACTTCAGAAATATTAGGCAGAAGACATGATCTTTTCCTCAGGCCTGAGTGATAGGGGGAACCTGAAGAGAATAAGCATTTGAGTGTCTACTGTATGCCAGGTACCAGGCTAGGAATTTTTATTTTTTATTTAGTCCACATATCTGACCCTTCTTATAAAGGTAGTTATTAATACCCCTATCTTGACTGTAAGGAATGAGACTAAAAAATGTTAAATAATGTGCTGAAAGTCAGAAAAGCAGTACATAAGATTAAAGTTCAGACTTGTCTAAAGTGAAGATGCATATGTTGTACTATACTTATTCAGTACTGCTCCTCCAGACTGATCTTACTGAGGAGCTCAGATTTAGACCAGAGCATGTCCAAAGGGTATATTTAGTTCTGAAGAATCACCAGGAAAAGCATGCCATTGCCAACTCACCCCTGACCTGGTGCGTGGTCTGCAGGCTGAGCAGGTTTCTGGGTTGTCTGAAGGTCTACATACTTCCTGCATGACTCTTAAGATGGACCTGCTTCTGTATTCAAACTTGATTTTTCTATTCTTGTGTGCAAGAGTTAAGATCAATTAACAAAACCTCCAAAGCTAATTAAAAAGCAATTCTCTAGAGCAAAGATCTAGAGTCCACAGTTGAAACTTACGTACAATTTTTTTTTAACTTATCAATATACAATGCAGTTGGTTTTAGTGTCCCTTTACCAATTCCTCCTTCCCCCGTCTCCCCCCTCCCCCCATGTGCAATTTTTTGTGCTCCTATGTGACATATGTAAATACAAAAAACAGAAATGGTAATGTCAATTTAAGATTAAACCAGCAAGTGTGTGACAGAGTGGTGGGCGAAAGTTCCCAGGATTATCATTAGATTTTCACAATGGTCTTTGATTAAAATATGATTAAAAAAACAGTTCTGTTTAAGAACCAGTTTGGACCAGTATGACAGGTACTTTGCTTTTATCCTCTCTCTTGAATCCTCCCCTCCTCCCCTCCTCCCCCTCCCTCCCTCCTCCCCATTCCCTTCTCCCCCTCCTCCCTTCCTCCCTCCCTCCTCTCCTCCCTCCCTCCTCCCCTCCTTCTCCTTTCCTCTTCACTATCTTCCCTCCCCTCTCCTCTTTCCTTTCCACAAGCAAATTTGTAAACTTATTACTTTTTTTAAAAAGTGTTTTCTTAGCAATTAAAAATAAGTTTTCAATTCAATTATGGGTGTGGAAAGTAGGAGTCTGTTCTTTACTGAAATTCTCTGGAAGTAGTGATCTTATTACATGTATCTAAACGTAGAAGTTGATTAGGAAATCTTTGGTTTAGACAGGTGGCTATTTGATGACTGAATTATTTTACCAGTACAAATCGGGGGTTGGCAAACTTTTTCTGTAAAGGGTTTATAGTAAATATTCTAGGCTTTTTTTTTTTTTTCCTTTTTGTCTTTTTTCATGTCCGGCAACGGATCGCAACCCTCAGTGTCGCGCCCGTACCGGACCGGGACCGGATATTCTAGGCTTTGCAGGGTGTAAGGTCTCTGTCACAATTACTAAGCTCTGCCATTGTAGCATGAAAGCAACCAGTTAACAGTATGTACTTAAACAAATAAGTGGCTGTGTTCCAATAAAACTTCATTTTTGAACACTGAAAATAGAATCTCATATAATTTTTACATTGTCACATAATATTATTTTTCTTCCAGTCACTTAAAAATGTAAAATCATTCTTCACAGATTGTACAAAAACAGGTGGCAGGCCAGATTTGGCTGTGGGCAGTAGTTTGCTGACTGTGCACTAGATGGTCTGTTATATAGCAGCACGTTTATTCTTGTATTTGCATTGCCGTTCTTTTTAAAAATATATATATCACTAGATTTTTAATCTATAAATCTGGATCTTTGGAGTATTACAATTAAAAGACCTTGATAAAGATTATATGTGACATAAAGACTTAGAGAGCAGGTGATATTTGGTTGCCTACCCAAGAATCATTATTCCCCCCTTCTTTGTTGGCAGAAGCTGTTTATTGTTACTTTTTTCTTGTAAAATTTTTTTCAATTATGAAATAATAGAGATAAGAAATGGAAACACTATGCCAATAACAACAGAATTATTTGAAATTTTACTCACCTATGGAAATTTGAAAGTCTGGGTGTTGGGAAATCCTGGTCTGTACTCACTAAACTCTATTCTTACCACCTTACTTACGGACACCTTACAGCCTGGCTCCGGGTCTAACCTCTTGGCTGAACTGGTTTCTAGAAGGTCACCATTGATTTTATGGTGCCTTACCCCATTTTTAAACCAAATTTCCCCTTTGACTTTTCTATAGTATTTAATTTTGTTGACCATTCTGCCTCTGAAAACTCTTTTCCCTCGTATTTGCTGAGAGTGCTTCTTTATTCCACCTCAGTGACTGTTTTTCAGTCTCCTTTACTACTTTGTTCCTTTCTACTTCTTGAGGGTAACTCTCTTGTAAAACATTGAATTGGTTTATGACGCCTGTAAATAGTAGGCATAAGAATGAATTAATCATAAATAGAAGCTACAAATTAAGTAGAGCCTATTTAGTAGAGACTTTTGATATAAAACAAGGCTTATTAGAATTGAACGGTTTTCCTAACTGATAACAGTTCTTGTTTTTAAGTATGCACATATATTTAGTACATTATATTTCTTTGTATGTACTATTATTAAACCGCTTCTATATGGACATTTTGATTTCAGTTGTACATATACTCTTTTTTTAAAAAATCCCATATGGGCATCCTTATCTGTATGTCTTGGCATACTTTGTGAGTATATCCATAGCATAAATTCTTAGTGGTAGAATTGTTGAGTTAGGGTGTATGGGCATTTAAAAGTTTGGTATGCCTTGCCAAATAGCCTTTCTGAAAGTTTGTACCCGTTTGCACTTTTATCAGCAGGGTATGAGTGTCCCTTTCTCCACACCCTCTCCAACAATGAATACAGTAAAACTTAATGTTTTTGTTCATCTGGAGGGTGAAAATATTTTTTGTTAATATTTTTATTTATTTTAGCTATAAGTGAAGTTGAACATCTTTAATATCAGAGGTTATCAGCTGAGGGCAATTTTGCCCCCCCAGGGGACATTTAGCAATGTCCAGAGACATTTTTTACTATTATAACTGGGGGAGGGTCTGGGAACTAACACCTAGTGGGTAAAGGAAAGAGATGCTGCTAAACATCCTGCAATGCACAGGACGGTTTTATCTAGCCCAAAATGTCAATAGTGTCAGGGCTGAGAAACCCTGTTTTATATTATTTCATTTCATCTCCTTTGTTGGTTTATTATCTGTAATTCTTGAGTTATTTTATTGGTTGCTTTCGGGTTTATAGTCTATCTTTTTAATTTGTCTCTATTGTCAAGCAATTTATTACTATTATGCTATTATAACAGTATACTTCCTTTTTTCCCCTCCTAGCCTTTGTGCTGTTGTAATACATTTTACTTCTGTATATGTTACAGATCCCAAAATATGTTATTATATTACTTTAAATACTTGATCATCTTTAAGACATTTTTGAGCAGCTATATTGAAATACAATTAACGTACATTAAATTGCATGTTTCAAGGGTACAATTTGATCCCTTTTGACGTACATATGCTCTTGTGAAACCATAACCACAATCAAAATAATGAACATACTCATCATTCCCATACTTTTCTCCTGCCATTAAGTAATTTCTCCCCTAATCCCAGGCAGCCACTGATCTGCTTTCTGTCACTGTAGATAAGTTAACATTTTCTAGAGTTTTATATAAATGAAATCATAAACTATGTAGTCTTTTTTTTTTTGTCTGACTTACTTTCTTCCAGCATAATTATTTTGAGATTTATCCATGTTGTGTGTATCATTAGAAAAACATTTTTAATGACAGACAGTCCAAGTAATTGGATTCCTATCATTAAAGAGCATGATGAATTATAGTCACTTGATGTGTTCTTTGTTTTAGGTCATGACTGTCCAAGGTATGATAATCACATGAGTGCTCATTGCTGCAGATGTCATTTGACTCAGAGAAAATCTGTCTAAAAGAAAATATCCATACTACCAGATCTGTTTCTTTTTCGAATGGCTTGATGGATTTTCTTTACTCTGATTTATGCCAAAGCTGTCCATCTCAACCAAAGCAAGAAAGGATCCTGCATGAGTCAATCCCAGAATGCCATTTTTATATCATCAACAGGTGAAGAAAACCTCATGAATAGCAATCACAGAGACTCGGAGAGCATCACTGGTGAGTCCAGTATAATAAATATTGAAGTGCTATTGCTGACAGGATAAAATGCAAAAACTGCAGTCCAGTGTGTGTGACCTACCATGATGAAACCTCAGCCTCCCTTTCCAGCCTAGTCTCTTCAGAGACAGACTGAATTAATCTCTCCATCCCCTGGTCTCTTATCATATTATCACACTCTGCCTTGTGTGCTGTTCCTTATTTATGTCTGATTCCCCTATACCCTGTGAGCCCCTGGTGAGCAGAAACAGCATCATGCTCATCTTATCTCCACAGGGCAAGGGCAGAGTTACTTGTGTTTGTCTACCCGGAAGGCACCTGACAGCAGATCCTGGCACACAAGAGGCTCATGGTACTTACAGGGTATACAAACATAATGCCTCTCCCTCAAGACTAAATCAAAAAAACCCTGACTGAACAGAACTGAGGTTACCAGAGGTGGGAAAGTGGGAGGTGGGGAGGGGTAAGGGAGGAATTCGTAAAGGGCCATGAAAATTGATTACATTGTATAATGTTGAATATACTAATTATCTTGATTTGAACATCACATATTGCACACAGGTATTGATAGTCGATGCTGTACCCCACATATATGTATCCACTATGTTCCAATATAAGTAAATAATTAATTAGTTAGAACTCTGAACTTTGTCCTAAAATTTATTTGCCTATAAAACCTAACTTTTATGGCTTTTTATAGACTTATCTCAGTTTGAATATTCATTTTTACTGAAGATGTATTAATATATTTAAATATGGGGTGTTGCTACAAAACCAATTGGGGATGTTATATAACATATAGTTAATGCATAGTACCACTTTTCTAAAAATCTGAAAAATTCTGAATTCTGAAACCCATCCAAACGCAAAGTTGTTGTTTTTTTAATTCAGCTTTATTGAGGTAACTTTATTAAGTTTTATAATAAAATGCACCTATTTTAAGTGAGTACTTTGAGTTTTGACAAATATATACACTCATGCAACCATGAGTACAATCAAGTTGTGGAACATCATCCCACAAAAGTTACCCCGGACTCAGATCTCCTCACCCCTTGCCTCTGGCTCCAAAAGCAACCACCAATCTGCTTTCTGACGGTGTAGATTAAATTAGATTATTCTAGAATTTCAAATAAATTGAATATGTCTTTTGTATCTGGCTTCTTTTGTGCAGCAAAATGTTTTTGAGATTTATCCACTTGTGGTGAGTGTCAGTAGTTCATTTGTTTTTATTGCCAAGTTTCACCTACTCACCTCTGTTACTGTAGCAGAAAAACACCTGTAGACAATGCATAAAGGAATGAGTGTGATGGTGTTCCAAAAAACCTTGATTTACAAAACCAAGCAGAGACAGCAAGCTGTAGTTCGCCTGTGGGGTGTAGTTTGCTGACCTCTGTTTTATATCATCAGCACTTGGTAATGTCAGTGTTTTTGATTTTAACCATTCTGGTAGGTGTATACTGTTATCTCTTTGTGGTTTTAACTTATATTTCCCTAATGACTGGTGATATTGAGCATCTTTTCATGTGCTTATTGGCCATTTCTAGATCTTATTTTGAGTTGTCTATTCAAATCATTTGCCCGTATCTTAATTTGTCTTACTATTGAATTGTAAGTGTTCTTATGTGTTCTAGATATGTCTTCTTTTAGATAAATGGATTGCAAATATATTCTCCCAGACTGTGTGGCTTGCCTTTTCACCTTCTTAATGGTGTCTTTTGAAGAGCAGAAGTTCTAAATTCTGACAAGTCCAGTTTATCAATTTTTGCTTTTATATGTCATTTTTTGTGTCATTTCTAAGAAATCTTTGCGTATCAACATCATAAAGATTTTTTCCTCTGTTTTCTTTTTAAAGTTTTATAGTTTTTGCTTTTACATTTAGGTCAGTGGTCCACTTTATAGTTAATTTTGAGTATGGAATGAGGTTAGGGTCCAGGTTTTGTGGTTTGGGTTTTTTTTTTTTTTCCTATCAAATATTTAGTTGTTCCTGTACCATTTGTTGAAAATACTATCTTTACCCCTATAGAATTACCTTGGTAATTTCATTGAAAATCAATGTGTGGATCTATTTCTGGACTGTATTCTTTTCCTTTAATCCCTAAGTTTATCCTTACAGAAATACCACATTGTTTTGATTACTGTAACTCTACAGTAAGTCTTGAAATTAGGTAATATAAATTCTCCAAATTTTCTTCTTTTTCAAAAAATTTGGCCATTCTAGATCTTTCACATTCTATGTTAATTTTAGAATCAGCTTATCAATTTATACCGAAAGAGTGCTGGAATTTTGAAGGAATTATGTAGACTCTATAGAGAATTGACATCTTAAAAATATTCAGTCTTCTAATCTGTGTACTTGATATATCTGTCCATTTATTTTGGTCATCTTTAATTTTTGTTGACAATATTTCGTAATTTTTATTGTATAGATTTTGCATGTTTTATTAAATTTAATCTTAAGTATTTATATTTTTAAATGGCATTGTTTATTTAACTTTGTTCTCCAACTGTTTATTACTAATATATAGAAATGAAATTGATTTTTTAATATTGACATTGTATTCTACAACTTCACTTAGCTTACTTATTAGTTTTAGTAACTTTCTGGTAGATTCCTTAGAATTTTCTACATAGATCATAATGTCTGCAAATGGAAAATTTTACATATTCTTTTTCAATATGGGTGTCTTTTATTTCATTTTCTTGCCTATTAAATGAGACAGGATCTCAGTACATTATTAAATAAAATTAATAGGAGCAAACATTCTTGTCATATTTCCATCTTAGAAGAAAAGTTATAGTCTTTCATTATTGAGTCTCTTGAGAATGCTGTTTATCAAATTGAGAAGGTGTCCTCCTCTTACAAATGGGATAAGAAGTTTTTATCATGAATAGGTATTGAATTTTATCAAATGCCTATTCTGCATTGGTTGAAATGTTCATATGATTTTTCTTTCTTAGTCTGTTAGTGTGATGAATTCTGTTGATTTATTTTTTAATTTTAAGCCAACCTGTGTTCCTGGGAAAAACTCCACTTAGTCATGATGTATTATCTTTTTTATATATTGCAGATTTGATTTACTAATGTTTTGTTGGGGGGGAGGTGTGTGTGTGTTTGTGTCCATGTCCCAATCTCATTCATGAAGACTATTGGTTTGTTGTTTTTTTGCACTGTCTTTGCTTGATTTTAATATTGAGGTAATGCTGGCCTCATAAAATGACTTGTGAAGTATTCCCTCACTGGTATTTAGAAAGAGTTTGTGTAGAACTGTTATCATAGCATTGTCCATCCTTTTACTTTTAACTTATCTGAATCTTTACACTTAAAGGACATCTCCTACAGACAATGTGTATTTATTAGGTCTTTGTTTTTTTAATGCATTTCGACAATGTCTACTTTCTAATTGGAGTGTTTAGACCATTTACTCTTAATGTAATTATCACTTTAGTTGAGTCTACTGTGCTCCTATTCATTTTCTGTTTCTTCCATTGGTTCTTTCTTCCTTTTTTCTTTGTTTTCCTTTCTTTAAATTGATTATTCTTTTTTTTTAAGATTTCATTTTAGGGCCGGCCCGGTGGCACACTTGGTAGAGTGTGGCGCTTGGGAGCGTGGCGGCGCTCCCGCCGAGGGTTAGGATCCCATATGGAGACTGGTCCGCTCACTGGTTGAGCACAGTGCAGGCGCGACACCGAGGGTTGCGATCCCGTTACCGGTCACGAAAAAAGACAAAAAGAAAAAAAAAGATTTCATTTTAATTTCACTGTTGGCTTATTAGTTATACCGCTTATTTTCCTCAGTGGTTCCTCTAGGTTGCAATATTTATCTTTAACTTATCACAGCCTATCTTCAAATAACATTATACTATTTCATAAAATGACATCCTTAAAATAGTATTTTTCCATTTCCCCTTACCATCCCATGTATTAATGTTGCCATACCTTTTACATCTACATATGTTACATATATAATATATTGTTAATATTTTTGCTTTAAACAGTCCACTATAAATTAAATTATGAGAATAAAAGTCTTATGTATTACCCACAGATTTACTATTTCTGTCACTGTTCATTTCTTTTTGTAGATTAAAGTTTCCACCTGGTATCCTTTTTGCCTCCTTGTATTTGACTTATTAAATTGTCATTGTTAAATTAAGGTCATGTAGTAGAAATTTACTCTGTTAAGGTTTATTTTCCTAAACTGCACTTTGTTATTATCTGCTAGACTTAGGGCTTTATTTCTTTATGCTACCCACAAAGGAAATACCAGATCTAAAAAAAAGTGAGAGGGTTGACATGACGTCCTGTTTTTTCCCTATTTTAAGTCCCAAGTATTTTAAGCCTGTTAAAAGGGATAACTCTTCTTTTTTTGGAAACCTAGGAGGTGTCAAGAGATGGACTGAATTGGGAGCAGGAGGCCAGCCAAGTTCAGAGCCCTGGGAGGAGCAGGGGTGTTGCAAGTGTGCAGGTGAAAGAGTAGCGATATGAATGGTATTGCATACCTAGGGTCTGCCAAGTATTACCCTACTTGCCTTAACTGGTTGTTATTTTATTTACTTCTTACTACTCCTGTGTGGTAGGTGATTCTCTTTATTTTACAAATTAGGGAAATTAAGGCTCAATAAGGATAAATCAAGTGTCTGATATCCCATAGCTAATGAGTGAAGGAGTCAGATTTAGAAGTTAGGTCTGATGTCAAAACCCGTGTTCTTTCTAATATTAAGAATGAATTAATATTGGAGGAATTAGGAGATATATAGGACTAATATGGTATGTTAAAGACATAATATGTAGGAACTTGCCTTCTAGAACAAACGGTCAGTCTTTGTCCTATAAGTAATTGGGCAGATAGCAGCAAGAGATGGTCCTGTGGTCAAGCGGGCACAGTGCTGGATAGGAAATCAAGACATAAGTCTAGTTGTCCTCAGCAAGTCACGTACCTTTAAGTCTCAGTTTCCTTACCTAGGAGACAAGATTAGATGGTTTCTAAAGTGACTTTCGCCTTTAATATTCTATAATTATTTAGATGTTGTAGCGACCTTAGCTTTCTTGATTTCTAGGTCTAAAACCTCAATAGTAAAGCATTAAAAAAAGTAGCTAACATTTAGAGAGTACCTCCACATTGTGCCGGTCATTAAACTAAATAGAAGTATTTTTCCTGCGTTTATCTCACTTAATTCCTACAACAATCGTGGAGGTAAGTACTAGATGCTATCACCTTCTCTATTTTACAGATGAGGAAACTAAGATTAAAAGTTAAGTAACTTACCCAGTGTTACATTATTTTTTGTGCAGAGCCAAGACTCATATTCAGGACTAACTTACAAGTCAATGTTCTTTATTACTATATCTTACTAAATTTATATTATGTGAAGGCTAGAGATTTTTAGGAGAAAACTCTTTTTTTCCTCCTTTTTCAGATTTTCTTCTTCTAACATATTTAGGACTTTAAATATATCACATCATTAAAATAAAAATGATACTTATTTCAGTGCCAGTGCTCAATAAATGCTAATGCTATATTTTTAAATTACTAGCTAGTGTGAGAATACACTAAAATGTTATTTATCCAGATTTTGAAGAATCCTTCCACAGAGTTCAAATTTTTTTATTAAAGAACATGTAATGTTGTCCCTTTTTGAACTGGCTGTTTTCTGCTAGTTGTTTTGTGTTGCTTTCTCCCCCAAGCACATAACTTGAGATCAGACCTGTTTTAAACAGTATTAAATAGATTGATAAAAAGGAAATTAGAAATTTGTTCAATATCTTTTTAAACTTTTAAAAACATAGTTATATTCACTAAGCAGTGTGTTTTTATTTTTATTTTTATTTTTTTAAACATTTTTTATTTTATTTTTTTATTTTTTTATTTTTTTATTTTGTCAATATACAATGTAGTTAGTTATTGTGTCCCATCACCGAAACCTCCCTCCCTCCTCCCTCTCCCCCCTCCCACCCAGGTGTGTCCCCTCCATTTTCTTGTTGTAAGAACTTCAAAAAAAAAAAGTTGTGGTTGTTAAATCTTCCTCCCCCCCCCCCCCCCGCCTCTCTTTTTTTTTTTTTTTTTTTTTTTTTTTTTTTTTTTTTTTTTTTT